CACCTAGGCTCTGCCCTGACCGCAGGGGCCACTTTATGCACCTGCTGCGCCCCATCCTGCCAGAAGTTCCCCCGGAGCTAAGCACCACTCCCAGGGCAGTGGGAAGGGAGAGCAAGAATAACCAGCATGTGGACATCCACATGGCGCCTCCCCTCCCTTCACAGGACTGGACTCAGAGCCTCCCTGACTCACCTGCACTGCCCGGTGACTGGGTCACACTTCCCAGCACCAAAGGTGCCATTCGGGGAGCAGTTGCAGCTTTCACAGCCAGCCACAGGGTGGAAGTTATAGGCATGCTCCTCGCAGGTCTGACACTGGGGTGGCACCGTGTTGGGGGGGCACAGGCACTCCCCCGTTGTCTCGTCACAGAGGCGCCCACTACAGTTGCACGCTGGCCAGGGGACAAAGAGACACCATGTAAGGGTTAAGATGCTGCCTGACCTCTAGCCAAACTGCACCAACTTCCCAGAGCTTCCAGAAGCTTCCGAGGCCTCTCCCAAAATGTCATTATGAATGCTTTGACTATGGTTGATCTGGCAGCCCCATTTCTGAAAACACCAAGCATATCAAGTGCTCCTGGCAGACCTGGTGTGCAGATCCTGGTGCTAAGATAGGTACCTCAAGGACCTCACCAAGCTCCCACATTTAGTGTGAAGCCCGTTTATTAGAAAGTTCTAGAAGAACCAAGGAGGGGCTGCTCACAGGCCCACAGGGCCCTGCAGGCTCATGGCCCCAGGTCAGTAGTGATGTCATCCTGCCACCCGAGGAAAGGCTTTACATCTTGACTTCTCACTGTCACCCTATGACAAGCGCTGACCCTACACCTAGGGCCACAGGACAGCCTTAGATAACAGTGCAAGGATTTCTCATCCCATGCGACCCTAGCTCTCCTGTCTCAACTGACGTTTGGCTGGACATAAAACTGAAGGCACTTCTGCCAGCAAGGAGATTGAACTGTTTGAGATTCTACCTTGAAGACTATCTGATTTGCCCAATTTATCTTCTTGAGCCACGCTATCTGGAATGGGGTCTGTTGACCAGTAGTGTGGGTATCAGCTGGGTCTCTTGATCCAGCCCAGGTCCTCTGAATCAAAAGTGGCATTTCACAAACCTTTCCAGTGCATCTCTAGGAAACCCTGAGTGTCACCTCAGGCACCAAAGAAGCCCCCAAGACTGGGAAGGCTCACTTACGCCTGCAGTGTGGGAATCCATAGTGGCCCGCTGCACAGTGGGTGCACTGCCGCCCGATGACATTGGGTTGGCACAGGCATTGCCCACCGTCGGAACTACAGCTGTGTCTGATGGACCCAGCAGGGTGGCACGCACAAGGCAGGGCGCCGTCATGGTACAGGGCCACCAGGGACCTGGTGTAATGCTTACAGAACAAAGAAGCTGTCTTGGGGCTGAGGAGACAAAAAAGCAGCTCTCAGTGATGCTCCAGGATGTGTGCCCAAAGTGCCCCAAGCCTCCCCTTCCCACCTGCTCCACCAAGCAGCGGCCCTGGGCCCTGGGGTCTAGGAAGAAAGGGGACTGAGTTGGTGACAGTCACCCAGCTGTCCAGTCTAGAAGAAGATGTCACACTGATGGTCAGAGCAAGCTATGAGTAGCTGGGATCAAAGGAGGAAAACACACTGTGGACTGAACTAGACGCTCTGGGAGCTGCGTCTCAACACTGCAGTCATTTACAGTGAGAAGATGATGAAGAGGAAGATGAGTTTTTGTTTTTGTTTTTATCATGCTGGAGAATGTACTTAAAGCCTTCTACTGAGTGACATCTCCTTAAAGCTGGGCTTGAACTTGTGATCCTCCTGCCTCAGCCTCCCAGTGCTGAGATTACAGGACCATATCTGGCTTTATCAGGACCTACTCAGTGTTGTGTACTGGAAGCACTGGATGCATCTCTCTTAGCTCCCAGCCACCCAGCATGGGACTGGTGAACAGATATGGTGGACATCCACAGGGGCGAACAGGAAACAGCAAAGAGGGAGATAGCCCTCATGTAGCTCAGAGGGTGACCCTCGGTGGAGTTCAAAGTTAAGGCCAGTTACCTCACCCAGCAGGAGCCTGGCAAGGTCTGCTAAAGGGCAGAGAGAGAGAGAGAGAGAGAGAGAGAGAGAGAGAGAGAGAGAGAGAGAGCAGGGCCTTCCTTGGACCCAAGACTCCTGGTGGCAGCTTCCATGGGCAGTGAGGGGAAGCAGGTAGAACCAAGGCCATCTTCTTCCCATCTGGCTGGGAATGTGGGTATGTCCATGGATGGCAGCATTCCCCTATAATGTGACACTTACTTGATATAAAAGTCGTTTCCTCCACATTTGGTGATAAATTCAACAGACTTGTCCACTGAGGTTTTGGGCATTGGTTGGTATTTGAAATCCGCTGCTGGCACCACTAGGATTCGGAACTAAAAGAAACCCATCAATGCGTGTGTGGATTTGCAATGAGATTAGTGCGCTTTAGCATTAAGCCCATGGCCGGAGGAGATGGGAGTTATCAAAAGAAGAATCACAGGAGCCAACCTACAGCAGGGTGAAATGCTCAACCCTCATTGCTAGGAAACAATGAACACCGCACAACCTCTTCAAAGCACCTGCTCCAGTGGCAGCATCTCTGTGGCTGCCCTGGAGGTGAGCAGGAGCTGTTAGGACGATCAGGGACCCAAGTGACCAAAAGTCTCCCAGGTTTGCAGGGATTGTTGCTCTGTATTTGTAAATGTAAGCACACAGAAGTGGCAGAACTAAGGAAGAGTGGCAGCCCCAGTCTTTCAAAGTGCCCCTCAGCCCTCTGTACCCCTGCACAGGTGAGACCATGCCCCTGACAATGCTGTAGGAGATTTCAGATGTTCTTCCAGCTCACAACTGGGGAAAGCCCACTGTGTTCATGCTTGATGGCTTAGTAAACATCTGTAGAGTGCCAGGTTCTGGGGCCAGGAATGGAACAGGAGCACAACCAGCTGCTGCGTCTGGGGTGTGGGCATCTGCACAAGAGCAGGAGGCCTGAGCTGAGCACGGTGGGCCACAGGGCAGGCCCTGGGAAACATTTCCTGGTTCTGAGGAAGGAGCAAGGATGAATTCAGTGATGTGGGTGCCTCTCCCACAAGGCAAACAGCAGAATCAACAGGTGCAGCTGAAGTTATCCAAAGATGAATGATGCCACTGTGGGCTCAGGAGCCTGCAACCAGGGCAACATCCAGGAGGAGGGAGAAAGCACCACAGTGGGAGTGAGAGAGCAGGACAGAAGCAGGAGGGAAAGTGCCCACAGAAGCTGAGAGGAGCAAGGAGTGCCAAGTACTGTGGGGAGATGGCAGACCAGGTCTGGGGAGCAGGTAGGACACTTGCACTCTATCATTCCCATTTCCCAGGAGTTTCCTTGTCACATGCTTTTTTCCTGCCAGGGTGAAAGCTATAAAATGTCACCACTGTCCCATAAATATGACTTCAGTTCCTTGGAGAAATGATTGCTGTGAGCTGACAGACGCAGGGAAGCCACAAGGAAAGAAGGCAGGCAGAGGTGCTACGTACCAACACGAAGGACATGTTATCTGTGATTGAGAATTGCATGGACAAGTGAGTCGCTTCCATTGGAAATGCTTCATGGCCCTTGATATAAATGATGGCCTGACAGCCGAGCACATTGGGGCAAAAGAAGGCCTCGAAGGTACCTGAGCAGAGAGGGGGGTCCTGTCACGTGACTGCAAGACAGCCCCGGGTGCACGTGCGGGCCCGCCAGTGGCAACTTACCAAAGTACTTGTTTCCATTCAGATATACAAGTGGAGAAAGCGATGGGTATTTGGCTTGAAAAAAGTGGACGACAAAGGTGTATAAGCCTCTCTGTGGTAAGACCCCTCTTATGGACGTTTGGCACTAAGGAAAGAAAAGCAAGAACCCTTCAACTGATGCGCTCTGAGTACTCTAATCAGAATAGGAAGACGTTCTTATGCTTCGAGTATGTTTTATACACCTCAAAACCCACGATGAGACTTAATCTCTGCATGTGGCAGTGTCGGTGGAAGTTCAGATTTCGGGGACAGAGCTGTCATGAGAAGACTAAAGCTGCCTGCGGAAGTGAGTTCGTGCTCTCACAGAATGGGTCTCATCATCTCGTGTGAGTAAAGCTACGCCCCCTCCATCTTCTGCTCTTCCACAGGTTCTCCTCTGTCACTGTCACATCTGCTCCTGCCATGTGACGCCTTCTGCCCCCTGGCAGCACAGCACCAGGCCCGCACTAGAGGGGACCACCTCACCTTGAACCTGTCAGCCTCCAGAGCCCTGAGGCTAACCAACCTCTTCTCTTCATATGTCTCCCAGTTGTGAGTATTCTGTTACAGTAAGAGAAATCAACTAAAGCAGAGCTCAAAGACCAGCATCACTGAGGCAGTTCCCTGGGTGAAATGACAACCTCTACTCATTCCCACAGAAAACTTCCTGTGAATGTCTGAAGCAGCTTTCCTTGTAGATACAGACGCTGGAAAGAAATCAATCATCTCTTAGCTACACAATGGACAGGCTGTGGTACAACCATACATTTTGTGGAAAGAGGTACATCATGTTGGAAAATTCTTGCGGTATTTACCAAAGTTGAATGCACAACCTGGCTATTGTGTGCCTGGGTTCATACCCAAGAGAAATGCAGAATAGGATTACCAAATGGCTGGACCAGAATGGTCACACAGCACCCCTACTCATGCCACCCGCAGAATAAACAGACTGAGTCCACACGGGATGTTTGACCCTTGACAGCTTTCAAGCTCTGTTGCTTCCTAGTCCTTTTGCCTCAGACCTGGACAAGCTAGGAAGTTCAAAGTCAGGCGGCCCCGTGTGGAGACTGAGCTGTGCCATGCTCTCTCTCTTGATGAGAGTAAAGTCCAAATCACACACGTTCCAGCCCATGGGAGAGGGAGCTCTTGCCCTGGACTACAGGCACACCACACCCACCGCAGTAAATCCAGTCAAACGCTCCTCTTTAGCTGACACGTGAATGCGAGCTCTGCTCTCTCCAGAGAGCCTCAACCATGAGTGCAACAAGTCTTTGGGGATTTTTTCATTTTGTTTGTTTTTTAATTACATGTTAGATAAATTTATTTTAAAAGACTAATGGAAAACAAAAATCATAGCATTAATTACAAGTGACTGTACTATGCTGACGTTGTGGAAACTGCTGTGCCTTCATACTGGATCAGCCTCTACACGCACCATATTGTTGATATTTTTTTAACTTATGGAAAAAATAAAACAAAATTATCAGAGTATAGCAATAGTTAATACATGGCACATTATTATTTTCAGAGTAGTTACCCAGAGTACAAGACATGGGCATAAGATTTCTCCTTTATTCTCTTTTTTTTTTGGCTGGCTCCGAATGCCTTCAGGGCATGTTTGGCTGGCTGGAGTTGTGGGGAT